GTCATGAAAGTTCACCTCATTTTTGCATCTTTCCTGGGAGATATGGCTCCACCAATAATGCTTGATACCCCAAAGATCAATATTGTTCCTTGGTTTCGTATTAGAAACATATTTTTCAGCTTTAGCGCAAAGATTTTTCATGGTGTTCATATCTGGCGACTAAGCAGGCCAATGCATTACATTAAATGCACTGATCTCGAACCACCTTCGAGCTTCCTTGCTGGTCTGTTTTGGATCATTGTCCTGATGGCAGACACAAAACAACGGCATTTCCTATTCCATATAAGGCAGCATCATTGTTTTCTAATATTTTAATATAGACATGGTGATCCATCATCTATTTGTGTCATGTATTGGACCACCTCAATAATACGAAAAGCATGCCCATGCAATGATACTTATCCCTGAGTGTTTAATGATTTTATATATTAGCCAGGGGTTTTTATTCTGCATTAGGTGTCGTCATACATAAGATTGATAGCCTTTTCCACAAAAAAAAAACAATTTGACTTTCTTCGGACGACATGATGTTTCTTTGGGACAACTCCAGTGCCATTTGCATACTGCACTCACTTTGCCCCATGGCTTTCTTTCTAAAGTGGATTTTTCCTCGGATTTTTGGCACTTAATTTATGTTCTTGTATGCAAGAACTAACTTTGCTCATCCTTGGCGATTTTTTAAAATACTTTTTTAGATCTGTGGACGATTTATAAGGGTCCTTCTTGCTCTCATCTATCAGTAGTTTGACCGGAAATGGCGGTATCGCGGCTTTTATTCCATGTGTTTTTTGTTGTTTGCATGTTTTAAAGCATTGCGAATCAATGCTTAATGATCAACCAACAATTGGATTTACCTAAAGATAGGTGTCTCCTTCTGGAATAAAAGTTTTGATCCTTTTGCTTTTTTCTTACCTAAAGTGCTTTCTAAGGCCCAAAACTACTTTTATTTTGTTAAGTTCTTGCCACAATCTACTTAAGACACCGAATTTTAATTGAATTAAGATCATAAAATATCAAAAAGCTCGGAAAAGTAAAAGTTTTTATAAAAAACCACTTTTAGTGCTATTTTTGTTGCCGTCCTATTTCGCTTCTTTTTTGGAAAATTGCCTTTAGTAATAAGAACCGTCAGGAATTCGAGAGTAAGCACACTTCTATCAGAGAGGAGACATGTAAACCTAATTGAAATTATAGTCAAGGGCAAAATATGTTGGTTAGAGATCAGGCTTTGAAACAATAAAGACTGTGGTGCCAAACAGTGCTATTATTTCTGCCGCAACTGTATGTATTTTGTTAGCTTTTTTTTTTGTTGTGTTCCTATGAGCGCATTTACTTTATATTGAAGTTGTGGGTTCGTTTAGCTTGTCTGCCTTTTTGCAATGTAATTTTATGCGAAATTCTCGTGCTTCCCAGACCGCTTATTAATGTACATTCATACATACATATGTACATTCATACATACATATGTATGTATGTCTGTACATACTGGCCTTACAGCCAGTCGCTTCTGAGTTGTGGCTTTAGTTTTTTTTTTTTTGTATTTTTCTTTATTACTTTTGTTTTAGTTTTTCTTCTTTTAATTAGAGTTTGCGTGCCGAGGGCTGAGCTGTTACCTACGAGTATTTGGGTGAGGGTCACATATCAATGGCAGGGGGAAGGCTGGTTCCGTCGGTAGTCAGTAGTCGAATGGTGGATTGAGACTCCAGCATGGAATCAAGTTGGCAGATTGTAGGGAAGTTTAATGGAATAATACGAGTGGTTTTAGTCTACCGATTCTGATTATTTTTAGTCGGGACTCATCAACGATATAATGGCTTGTCTTAAGAACTTCATTAAATATATCCCGTCTTAGCTAGCCCATGGAGATTATTCTTAGATTATTATTACTTTGTAAAGAAGGAAATACTATTCCTCGTTGTCGATGAACTGCTTGCAGTAGTCAGCTAAGCACTGCTTCTACCATAAATCGAGCAAGTAATTAAATTCCACATAATTCACCTCACAGCTACAAACAATCCAAATATATAATTTATAATATATAATATAATAATAATATAATATATAATAATAATATAATATATAATAATAATATAATATATAATAATAATATAATATATAATAATAATATAATATATAATAATAATATAATATATAATAATAATATAATATATAAGTTATTGGAAAATAAAATAAATTTTAAAAATTAATTAATTAAACTAATTGCTTTTTGTCTCTGCTATTGACATGCCCATCCTGGATGATGGACAAGAGAGGCTTTTCAATTTATCATTTGGAACAGCTTTGATCGCACAACCAGCTTTAAATTTCGCCTAGCGTATCTGTATCTGCAGAAAGGGATTCGAAAAATGGCACGTTCAAGACGAATGAATTCGAATTCGAAGGACTCGAATGATTTCTACTGTACCAAATGCATTCATTCATTCATTCGAACACTCGTAGACAACTTTAATCACATTCATAAGGAGAGGAGACCTCCTACCTTTATATTTTATTGCACTGCTATTGATGTTATTTATTCTATGCCACTCCTAATATCTCTATTCCTCTCCTTCTCTCCCTCTTTCGCCGTCTTTTTCCAGCTCTCTTTACCCCATACCCTGGGACGGGTGTCCATCAACCTTTGCTAATCGCCCAGCCCAGCAAAATGACTTACGACACAAACTTGATGCATTCGACCCAAACCACTTAACGGTAATTTCTCTCCATCTCGCTCACTTTTTCGAAGTGCTTGCGTGTGACCTTCAGTGGCAGCCCCGACCACAACCCCACCAACAACAACAGAAAATTCACTTAACCAAAGCAAAGTACAGAAAAATATGAGGAGGTTCACACAGCCCGCCACTCCAAGCCCCGCCCACAGCACCAGCGCCAGCGCCACCAAGTGCTTCCATTTACATAATTGTCACACTGATTTCTTAGCTCTTCTTTTCTCTCTCTCTCTCTCTCTCTTTTTGCTGCTCATTTTCCTGCTTCTTGTTCTACGTCTATTGTATGCCGTTTCGCTGTCTTCGCAATCGAATAAAAAACTCTAGAGAGTCGAAGCTGAAGCTACCCTAACCATCGTTCTTCTGTCAATTATAATTATTCGAAAGTCTTGCTCTCAGTGAAGAGTTTCAATAACTGAAACAGGTGAATGCATATATATGTATGTATACGCTTTATCGGATAGAAGTTGATTCCTTCTCTGCTGTGCAAACAACTCGTCCAAGTCAGAACACCCTCACTTCAAGGGTATGGCAAAAACAAGCCTAAGCCACATTTCAATTTGTGTTTTTTTTTTTTGTTGCCGTCGCTGCTCCTCAAAATGTAATTAACCTCTAGTAGTTGTGGTTGTTGTTTGTTTTTTTCGTTTGCATTTTTTCGGCTTATTTTTGGTTTTCTGTTTTTTGTTTTCTTTTTTGATATTTTGCGTCACTTTTAGAACAACGACAACGTCAACGTCAACGTCGAGTAATTAAGCAAAGCTAAAAGTTCATGTTAATTGTCCCACACACACACACACACACGGGCAAGAGGGCAAGGGATAGAGAGGAAGAGACATGACAATTATTGTGTGTCCGTGTCCCCTGGAAAAGGTCAAAGACTAAGAGAATTGTCAACCCATGGACAGACAGAGGCGGTTGACCGAGAGAGTGAGACGTAGAGTGAGTGGAAGGAAGTGCGTTTTCGGGCAAAGAGGGAGAGAGGGCGAGCTAGGGGGAGCTCTGAGAGAGCTGAGGAAAGCAGTGCCCCAGCCATTAGCACAGACAGAGAGTTGGAAAGAGCAGTCAAGCAGTGGGCAGAGCAGAAACGAAAAAGGAGATGGAGGGCACGTAAATACCTCAAGCAGTAGAAGATGCCAGCGCTATCAAGCATAGGAAGAGGCAGAGGCTTAGGCAGAGAAAACTGCACCTGTGAAAGCAGAACCATTATTTCAATTATAGGATACCCATTACTTACAAATACTCGCAGATACAAGAGTCCTATATACACATTCGAATAATGATAAAGCAAAGCTAAACTATTTATTTAAATTTTAAGCGAAATTCTTTGAGATTTATATAAAATATTATTAACATTTATTAGGCTTTTAAATAAAATAGATAAACGATACAATGAGCAAACGATCCCATTTTCTGCTGTTTAATATTTTTAATATGTAATCTGAAATACGCTATGAGTATCCATGCGCACTGGACTATCAAGAGGTGGCAGATTGGAGCCATGGGGTGATGCTAGTAGGAAATATAAATACATTCATACATATGTACATACATATATGTATGTATGTACGTTTTATGCATATTTTTTTTGGCTAACGTTGACTCATTGAAGGGTAGCCGCTTCGCTTCCCCTTTGCCATTGCCGCCTGGGCTTCCCCCCTGCTGGATGGAAGCGGAAGCAACGAACGACGACATGTCTCTCTTCTTTTTGTTGTTGTTGTTGTTTTGTTCTTTTTTGGTATTGTTGGGGCTTTTTTTCATTATTATATATACTTTTTTTTTAGCAAAATGCCGTTAGCTCTTGCGAACACGCGGTGTGAATGATACTTTAATTACACAACAAAAACAAAAAAACCCACCCAACATGAGCTACAGGTGGGGGGGGGGGGGTGGGGGGAATAGAACAATGCTGATGCAAATCAAGTTGGTAGAGGTGCTGCTGTTGGAGTTGGCGTTGGGTTTGGGTTGGGTTGGGCTAACATTTCGGGAAATCTAAGATAATCAAAACAAATCTAAGCTTCTAAGCTCTAAACACCCGGAAATTAAAGTTGATTGAACGCGTAATTGGTTGAGGGATCATCGTATGAAACATTGGCAAAACTTTGTGATCGGTTGGAAAATGTTGGCTTGCTTTTCTTCCTTACTGATACGCAAACCCTTTAATACTTCTAGGAATAAACACAGCTTTGTGTGTCTCTAAAAGCCAAATACATTCGCCATGATTTAATGTTTATTTTGTTAATATTTACAAAGAATCTATTTGGAAATCGAGTCGTCGAATCAACGCCGGTAACGCCTCAAGATTGAACGCACATCCTCGACAAAGCGAAGAGAATCGATTATTGGCAGCAGAGTGAGCAGCTTCTGGTCCCAGGCACCGATGACATAGTCATCGATTGGTATGGTATTGTCCTTATTGTCAGCGGAAATCTGGTTGGTATGAGCCAGCAGAATTTTGCCGGTCAGATCGTTATAAGCTAGCGAAAGGTGATCAAAGCCGAGTCCACGATTGTAGTCGCTGCCGTCCAAGCGTTTATTGAGCACATTCTGTCCACCATCCAAATAGTCGAGCACAAGCGGAGTCCACACCCTATCTGAAGTGGTGAACACGATCAGATGGCACCACGCATAGATTTTCTTGATAAAAAAATCCAGATGGGGACGCTTGTAGACATAGACTTTGGCATAGTATTCGGGTAAATCGAACACCCAATCATAGGGCAAACCATGATTCTCGCACAGTGCATCTGTTGACCGCACCACCACCACTTTCACCAAAGTCAATAGATTCAGAATCACTGTCTTCTTATTCGCCATGACCAGTTGTCGCTCGGACTCGGGGGACAATTTATCGCTGTCCTTGTATGCATACAGACAGAACATCGAATATAATTTAAAGATCTTATGGGCGAGGCGCTTTTTCCAGAGTTTCGCCATTCTCAGATATGTGGTGATCACACAAGTGACAACAATAATCAACCATAGTGTTTTGTCGTCGAATCTATAATGTGTGTGTGTGTGTGTGTGTGTGTGTGTGTGTGTGTGTGTGTGTGTGTGTGTGTGTGGGGGGGGGGGGAGATTGTACGATCATGGTGGGTGCACTTCAATTATGTTTACTTACATCGAGCACTCGCAGCCAGTTGCAACAGCACCCATTTTTGAACAAACACAAATATTATTTTGCTTAGCTGCTTAGTTTTCAGATTTTTAGATTTTCAGATTTGTTAATGGATTTTCAGGAAACAAATAGCCTAAGAGTAAAGAAAATGCAACTAGATTAGCTTGATTTTCAGTTGCTTTTTCGTTGTTACACTGAAAAATAATAATAATAATAATAAATATATTACAAGTTAAAATGAAATGTACGTTGAGTTGCTTGGAAAACTTGCAACTGAAAGCCATTAGGATAAGCTCGAATCAGATCCAGAGCAGTAATAAATTTATGCCCAGCTTTTAAGATACGTCACAAAAAAACAGAATCTTCGTGCCCCATCTTGCATGCATATGCATATGAATAACAGTCTGCTGCAAGTGCCGTGTGTCGAAAGGGCGTCTGTCCCATCTTAATCCACTCATCGAAATTTACACATCGAGAATTTTGGGCATATCGTGATGCTGGATGCTGCATGCTACATGCGCTCATTAGGCCCAAAGAAAAATGGAAATGGAAATGGGAATGGCAATTGGAAAATGAAAATCCCAAAAGAAAAATGAAACAAAAGCCGTTACTTAGTTAAATATATTTCACCCTTTTGTTTTTTCATTGATTGGCTGATATCGATGGGACAAAGCAGCGACATTTCTTTTCTTTGAGGTGTTATCAAAATATTTAAATCATCAAAAGCATTTAAAAGCGCATTTGTAAATAGTCCCGACTACGTTCCACCACCGCCCTCCCACCAAGTGATATCTGAGAACAAGTTGGCTTCCGAAAATAAAAGCAATTTTTTCTATCCAATCCAATCCACTCCACTGCACTACCCTCCACCACTCCACTGCACTGCCGCGATCCGTGTCGTTTTCTTTTCTATTTATTTTTTTTAATGGGATATCAAACGCTTGCGCCAGTAGCGACAACAACAACGTTAAGTTTTCAGAAATATTTACATTGATTTTCAATCAACTTGATTTGCATTACATATGTATGTATGAGGCATCGGATCCAAGCGATCTATGACGAGATCCCCCCAGCCACAGACACAGCAACAGCAACGGCAATGGCAATGGCCTCTGTGGTGTTTAGTAGCAGGAGGATGAGTAGTGGGGATGATGATGGACTGCCATTTAATGTACCGCAAAAACAAAACAAAAACACAGCATGAAACAAAATGTTGCAGCATTTTGGAATACCCTATGCGAAGGCATAAAGAGGAAAATATAATTTCAGTGACTGCAAATCATGGCATACATAAATATTCGCATTCGCATATCACGAGAACGTTTCGCATTCAATTATAAATAATCTTTTATATAATTGCTTTGGCTGGTGACGTTTCAAATCGATTGCTTTAACCATTTGTTAATCAATTCTTCAGCTGAATTACCCACTGAACTCATTTTGCCCTCATCAGCAGCTGCATCTGCTGCATGTCTCAATCGGATTGTTACAAACCCCATAAAATATTATCTATATCCCCAAAAAGCCATGACTGTCTCTAACAACTTATGGACATGGACTTGGATGGGGTTGCTGTGGATATTAAATGGGAGAAAATTAAATCAATGACTACGGTGCCGAGCAGGTGCCGAAGAAGGCCTCCAGGAGCGGCAGGGGTGGTTGATCGATCATATGTTCGATGCAACGATACAGCCCCGTACACCAGGTTCCATCAATGCCCAGAGCGACAACAGCATCAGCAGCAGCAGCACATAAAATGGCAATTAATCAACGAAATTAGTTTTTATGCATTTTAAATGATTTTATAGTTTGGCGCAGTGGCAGCAGCGCGCTCCAGTGGCTCCATCTCTGTGGTGGGGACCGGGCACCGTTAACTTGAACGCTGCTGGTGCCACTGCCACTGCCGGTGTCGTCGTCATTTGTCGTCTTGATATTGAGATTCTCTCGTTTCAACCCCACCTACCAGCTGCTGCCTGCCGGCCTGCTGCCCCCCTGTCAATCTCAGCCAGGAGTCCGGTGCGGCGTGCCTGCAATCTGCTCCGACGTAGTCTGCAATCAAATTTTCGCTTTCATGCCATTTGGTCAGAAAATAACAAACAACCGAACAGAAAAGAAGCAATAAACACAACAACAACAAAAATTAAGGAGAAAAAAATGTTCACAAAATAATTTTACGTCGCAAGTTGATCAAACATAAATTTAATAAAAGACTGTTGGCTTTAATGTGGACCTGCAACAGCTGCAGTCAGGTGAAGTCATCTCGAACACGATGCTACCCTGTAAACAGTGTGGCCGCAGTGCTTTAACATGATCTAGGTGATATCTTGTAGTGCCAAAAAAAAAATCAGCGAGTGGCAAATCTACAGAACTTAATCAAAAAATAAATAAAAATTAAACCTAAAAGATCCGATAGTAAATAAAGCCTTCAGCCTTCAGTGTGAGAAAGATCTAGGATTTAACTAAACAACAAAAAAAATGGCATAGCTCCTGCTTATAGGATAGCAGTGTCCTTACTAATTTTCTCTCTGATTCTCTCTAATTTTCTCTCACTTTTAAAATTAGCAGCAATAAAAATACACAAAAAAAAAACCAGCACTAGTCCACTGTTGAGCTTATATGTATACATAAATATATAGACATATATCTCTTTATTACTCTACACACGAATATCCTCAATAATGGAACACACATATACCCTCACTTGTGGCATCTTTCCAGGGTGCAACGCGCATCGCAAATCTCCGCAGCAGAATACACAGATGCACTTACGTCCAAAGCTAATGTTAATGGGGTGTGGCATTTGGCCAGTGTAAATAAATTAAAGAGCAGCCGCAAAACAAAGCCACAGCACAGCACAAAACAGCACAGAACGCAGAACAGAACGCAGCAGGAGAGCTGCAGGAGACGGAGAGAGGATGAGGGTATAAAGTTGGAGAGACGGCGGCATTTTGATTGCATTTCATTTGTGGCACATCCACCAAAAAGGCAACTGATTCCTCTGCTCTGGTCTTTTGGCCTTTGTTTGCTTTGCAAATTGCGCTCAAGTGCGCTGCAGAGATAATCAGAGCAGGGCAGCAGATCAGGAGGCAAAGGCAGGAGGCAAAGGCAGGAGGCACAGGCAGTGGTGCATTATGATAACTTATCGGTGGAGTAATCGGAGCAGCTGCTTCTGATTTTACCCCAGCTACAGCTCCTGCTGCATCTGCATCTGGGTTTGGGTTCGGGCTTGGGTTTGGGTCTGCGTGTGTGTGTCATTCCTTGAGCAAATAATGGCAACAATTATTCCAAAAGGAGCCGCAGAGCAACCCAAGACATCTTCGACTCCAACTGCCGGACTGGGGGGCACTGGGGGGACTGGGCCGCTGATTCCTTTTTTGGGTGATTATGCAATTTAGCAGCTTGTAAGTGATTGTTTGTGGGGCGTTGTTCGCTTGCAACGCACTACCGCAACACACACAAACACAATCGTTGCAACTGCAAGGTGCAACCCGATGAGGCCGCCGCGTCCCCACTTTGGAGGCAGCCAGGCAGCCAGGCAGCTGTGCTTCCCCGAATTGTTGTCTGCACATTTTCCTCCTTGCTTTTTTTTGTTGCTGTTGCTGGTCAGTATTATTTCTTCGCTTTTTATCGCTGCACTTCTTTTTGTTGTTTTTTTTTTTTTGTTTGGTTTTTTTTTTGTGTGTGTCGCTGATTGTTACAATTTTTGTATGTGCACGAGAGGCGCGCGCGGCTTTCAAATTAAAGCGCAAAACATTTTTGGCGATTTTTCTTGAATCGTTTTCGGGGTTCTTTGCGAGTCGAAAATGAAAATGATTTTAATAGGCGGGGGGCAGCCCAAAAGATAATGCAGTGAAAACGAAGTTTGAATACTCTTACGGGTACGAAACGAGGAAATACTGGGCAACAGAAATCGGGAAAAAAGTGGGCGCGGGGCGGAGGAATTAATGTAAAATAAGTTATGGAATATTACGATAATTTTCTAGAATATAGAATCCTATCTATAATGAAACCTTTGAGTAAGGAAATGAACGAGCTAGGGATAAACTCGCACAATGGCAGTGGATGATGACGTTGACGATGACGATGACGAAGACAAAGACGATGGCAAAACTGCACCGCCTTCATTTTGGTTGTTGTTGCTGTTGTTATTGTTAACAAACCACACGTAAGCGAAATAAAGTAAATTGCAGCAAATACAAATTGAAAACGGTCTGACAAATGAAAGTCGATGAACAACAGCTGCAAGAAGAGTAATAGAGTGCAGTGTGGCAGAGTGGTGAGAGAGATGGTGAGAGGGAGAATCATTTTCAAGGTCAGGCAAATGCTCTCCACAAAAGAGATTCATTGAACCGAAGACATTCGACAAATTGTGACAACGCCCATGCAACAACCAGCAACAACAACAAATAAATATGAAAACCAAAAATATATATCGATGGGCAGCACCCGGGAATACGATATGGATACCGTTGTCAGGCTCAGGCCCCTTACCCAGACACTGCTCCAAATTGTGTGCACTTCTGTGTTCAATTATCATTATATAAATTTTGTTTTATTTCTCTTACCCGCTGCTCGCAGTGACCGCAAATTAATAACGCTCAATGGAGCAGACGACGACTAGGGTACGCCCCACTGCAACGCCCGGATTTTGCGGTCAGGCCGTGAGCGGCTTTATCCTTGTCACACTTCTTTCCAAAGG